GCTCCTTGGGAGCCTGCTTCTCCCTCTGCCTCTCTCTCTCTCTCTGTCTCTCATGAATAAATAAATAAAATCTTTAAAAAAAAAAAAAAGAATATGAGATAAAATTAAGCACTAGTGAACTGAAAGAGGTTCACAGCAGAGAAATATGAACTTTAAAATTAAAAGTGCAACGTCTAGGGATGCCTGGGTGGCTCAGTTGGGTAAGCATCTGCCTTGGCTCAGGTCATGATGCCAGAGTCCTGGGGTCAAGTCCCACATTGGGCTCCCTGCTCAGTGGGGAGCCTGCTTCTCCCTCTCCCCGCCCCCCTGCTTGTGCTCTCTCTCTCAAATAAAATCTTAAAAAAGTACGTCTAAAAAAAATTCAGTAGATAGGTCAATAGCAGAATGAAGATGATAGGAAAGTATCAGTTTGAAGATAGAAATTATCTACTCTGAAGAACAGAGAGAAGATTTTGAACAAAAGAACAATTTCAGGAATCTGTGGGACCATAATGAAAGATAAAACATCCATGTCATTGAAGTACCCAGAAGAAAAGGGGAGACTACTACATGAAAATACTTGAAGAAATAGCAGCTGAGAGCCTCCCAAATTTGGTACAAGATCTAGATTTAAAGATTCAATGAGCCCTAAATAGGATAAAGGGAAAGAAAACTATGTCTTATATATATTATAATTGAATTGCTGTAAAACTAAGCAGTCAAAGAATAGTGCCTTACATATAGAGAAACGCTGATTTGAAAGACAGTGGATTTCTCATCAGAATGGTACGGCCCAGAAGACAGTGGTTCATCATTCATATATCTAGTAAAAACATCTTTAAGGAATTAGGGTGAAAGAAGCTACCAGTTTCATTAGTGATTTTAAATGGACAGAGAAAGATTTAATAGGCATGAGCTTTATTTTTTTTCTTTTTAAGATTTATTTTTTATTTGACACAGAGAGAGAGGACAAGCAGGGGAGCAGCAGAGGGAGAGGGAGGAGAAGGATCCCCACAGAGCAGGGAGCCCAATAGTGGGGCTCGATCCCAGGACTCTGGGATCATGCCCTTAGCTGAAGATAGTCGCTCAACCAACTGAACCATCCAGGCACCCCGGCATGAGCTTTGTATTATCACAGTTCTAAAAGGATGAATTAAAGAGTGTATTTACATTTAAATATAAATGTTGCTTTACCTACCTGACTTCACTTTGAGTGATTTTAGACAACTAGTTCATATGTTCTGTTTTTAAAATCAATCTTGGGGCACACCTGGGTGGCTCGGTCAGTAAAGTGTCCAACTCTTGATTTCGGCTCAGGTCATGGTCTCAGGGTCCTGAGATAGAGCCCAGCATCGGGCTCCACGCTCAGTGCAGAATCTGCTTATTCCTGACCCTCCCTACTCCCCTTGCATGCACGCATGCTCTCTCTCAAATAAATAAAAGCTTAAAAAAAATAAAATCAATCTTGGGACTTAGTCTGATATTCTATTACTAGGAAAACCGAAAGCGTCATGGCTCTAGTCGAAGTGTTGTAGATATGGATTTAGATGATACAGACGATGGTGATGATAATGCCCCTTTGTTTTACCAACCTGGAAAAAGAGGATTTTATACTCCAAGGCCTGGCAAAAACACAGAAGCAAGGTTGAATTGTTTCAGAAACATTGGCAGGTAAAATAACGCTAATCTTATATTTGAATTTTTAAAAAAATTCAGTTTGAGACTTTTCTAAAACATTAGTTTTTAAAATGTGTATGTTCGTCATACGGATTAGAAATGAGGCTATAGAAAATTTCTCAAAATACTGTGTGTATATTATGTATGTATGTGTGGGGTTATATGTGTTTTAGAATTATTTTCAAATTTAAATATATTTCCCTGTTTTTATTTTTAGGATTCTTGGACTATGTCTGTTACAGAATGAACTATGTCCTATTACATTGAATAGACATGTAATTAAAGTGTTGCTTGGTAGGAAAGTAAGTGATTTTAATGAACCTAACTGCTTTTACAATTGCAAAAATTTCCTTTTATAGCCATTATAAATCATTTTCAAACATTTAATGACATGGGAAAAAAAATCTCAATACATGGAGGAGATAGCCTGGCAGAGTGGGTGACACTGGTGGGTTTGGGGGTGTCTGACAGACCTGGATCTTGATGCAGACAAATCCCCTCACACCTATGGCATATTTTCCCATTTGCAAAATGGTAAAACTATAGTGCCTGGTAAGTGCTTAATAGATTTTAACTATTACTATTTGTTCAAACAGGTTGTAGTGGAAGTAGAAGTAGTATTTTATTGAAAAGAGTGTTGTTGGCTTCAAAAATATATGTAAGATGTACAGGAGGGAGAGGGGACAAAAGAATGTGAGAAAATACCACGTAGCATGCTTGATATTTATCTCTGGGTGATAGAATTAGCTTAATTTCTTTATGCGCTTTGATAGTCTGACTGTCTGCACATTCTTTTTATATGGGGGGACCACATCCTTTAAAATTAATGTATAATACTAATTATGCAGCTTTTGATTTAAAACACAACTGTCAGTGTTCCTAAAGGTATTATAATGAAATTACTTGACACAAAACAATGAAATATTTTAGTCTTTTCCAGCAATGTATAATATATATGTGTGTGTACATATGTATGCATGTACACATATAATGATGTAAACTCTGACCCTACTGAACTCTTAAAGTATTCCAGCTAAAATGTTCTTGTGCAAAGAAGAACTGGATTTAAAGCATAGCAACAGCTCAAATGTTGATGCATTGCCTTTTTAACAAGGTGTATGGGAAAGATGGAATCAAATAGACTCAAGTTTAACCCAATGATATGATCTTGAATAAGTTACTGAATTTCTTCGAGCATCAGATTCATCATGTAGAATAATCTATATTTTATGATTATAATCAAGACTAAATAGGATGTATACTAAGGACCAGCTGCTCAGCATAATCACTGTTTAATAATTAGTGTAGGTTTTTGCAAATTATTTTGGAACTTAAACTCCTCCACTTCTTGGCTTTAAATTTTTTTCAAAATATATATTACACTTACTATATTTTGAAAGTTAAATAATTATCAGAGCCAAAGATTAACATTTTACCTCTTCAAATCAATTATATTTAGTGGGATATTATTCTTTATATCTTCAAATTAGATAAAATTCAGTAAAGATGTCTCATATGATTACTTTCTTAGGTCAATTGGCATGATTTTGCTTTTTTTGACCCTGTGATGTATGAGAGTTTACGGCAACTTATCCTCGCTTCTCAGAGTTCAGATGCTGATGCTGTTTTCTCTGCAATGGATTTGGCATTTGCAATTGACTTGTGTAAAGAAGAGGGTGGAGGACAGGTAAAGCAAATATATAATTTTCTGGTTCTGGCAAGAGAATTTGGTTAGTCTGTTTTGCTTATCTTATATAGAAATAATTTAGATGGGGAAAGAACAAGAGACACAAACATACAGAGAAAAAACAGTAGATATCTGGACAGGCACAGAGGGAGATAGAGAGTTAATGAGAGACTGAAAGGTAGAAGAGTTTTTTGTACTTACTTTTTTGCATCTCTTAGATACTTTCAGATACAGAATTATCTTTTTTTACTTTTATTTTTTTTAATTTTAAAGACAGTGGGGGTTGGGCAGAGGGAGAGGGAGAGAGAAACTCTAAGTAGACTCTGTGCACTTAGCGCAGAGCCCGACACACGGCTCGATCTCACTACCCTGAGATCATGACCTGAGCTGAAACCAAAAGTTGGACGCGTAACCAACTGCACCACCCAGAGGCCCCCAGAATTGCCTTTGGATTTTAGAATTTTAGGAAATTGTTTTATGAATTGTGGACTTACTACTGCTTTGACAAAATTGCTTTTAAATTGCAAGGCCAAATTTTTTTACAGGTTGAACTTATTCCTAATGGTGTAAATATACCAGTGACTCCCCAGAATGTGTATGAGTATGTGCGGAAATATGCAGAACACAGAATGTTGGTAGTTGCGGAGCAGCCATTACACGTGAGTACTTTTTTGAAAGTGTTCTTTGATCTGATGAGGCTCTTTGTATCTTCCCGTGTGGTAAACTAGTTCAGAGAATATTCAGCTTGCCTATCAAAGGTTAAAACTTTTAAACCAAATTAAATTATGTACAGTGTAAATTATACCTGACTCCAGTCTAAGCGCTCTCTTTTCAGTAAAACTCTTTGGAAAAACTATGTAATCATCAAAAAGTCAATTTGGTGAGTAAAAGTTTGGAAAGGATTCTTGTGGAACTGAAATGACTACTGTTTTGGGGTCCTACCACCACCCACATCTAGGTGACTGACCAGAAGGGACTCCAAGGCAATTATAGTCATGGTTTATTATAGCAAAAGGACTCACAGCAAGGGAGAAATTTCTCAGTAAGCTTCTAGATTTCAGATTTGTGGGGTTTTTTTGTCATTATGATACCTTTCATAGGATGTGACAGGATAGCATGTTTGACACATTGAAGCATTTTTATTTAATGACTAGCCTGTTATTAACATAATTAAATTATAGTCAGTTAAATCCTGCTGTATAACAATACTATTTCACTTCCGAACCTGTAGCCTATTCATGATGCCTTCCCCCCAAATCCCCGCCTCTTTTGAATCTATTCAATTCAAAATACAGAACTTAATTTCTTTCTTTCTGGTTTAAAATGAGAACTAGTATTCTTAGTCTGCTAAAATTAGATATTGGGCTTTAACAATAATGCTACATGGAAAATAAAGTACTGAGACTAATAAAAAGGTAATTTTTAAAATATTCTGTAGGCAATGAGGAAAGGTCTACTGGATGTGCTTCCAAAAAATTCATTAGAGGATTTAACAGCAGAAGATTTTAGGCTTTTGGTAAATGGCTGTGGTGAAGTTAATGTGCAGATGTTGATCAGTTTCACCTCTTTCAATGATGAATCAGGTATGAAATTTTTTGAATGTTTACGGAATAAACTAGATGGACATATTTACGGGGCTTAGAAATGCTGTGTTACTCAGGTGTTTAAAAAGTTTTTTGTCTACATATTTAAGATATGATTGAACTATGATGGCTTGGCATTAGGTTATTCTTAATTCTTTAATTTTTCTAGGTTTTAAAGAATACATGGTTTAGTATAAATACAAGTAAAAATTCTTCGTGGTGAGCAACTACATAAAAGGATTTTTATATTCTAAGAAAAAATAATCCATGTGACAATTTTATTGGCCTTTCCCAATCCATTTCTCTTAGACTCTCTAATTGAAGAATTTGTATGGTGTTTACTTTGTAGAACTGGACCCAAAGCTCACTTACAAAGGTGTAACAACACACAAACACATGGAGAATCTAGAAAGAATAACAAGAGGTAGTGACAGTCCTCCTAGAATAACATATACCTTCAGGGCCTGATTTGCAGCAACTCTGTTTTCAAAGTCCCCTAAGCCTAAGAATAGGGTTTTTGCTGTGGCTGTGTAATAGAACACTGGAAGCGCCAAGAAATGAGTCCACGTGTAGTTCAAAATTACTGTGTACATGCAGGTACCATTTTTTCCCCCTTTTTCACATTTTGCAAACAGCTATTTGGATAAATTTTCTTTTTTTTCTTTGTGCTTGGCACCATATAGATTCATTGTATAATAGTTTTCAATACTTGTGAGATAAGAATTTGTCTCATTTACAAACCAAAAACCTAGGAGTTTGGAGGAAAATAAATACCTAAAGCCCCTCCAAATATGATCCTCAGATAAGCAGCATCAGCATCATCTAGAAGTTGTTTAGGAATGCAGAATCTCTGTTCCTTTTCTCCCTCCCCTCAGACCTAGTAAATGAGAATCTGCATTTTAAAAAGATCGCCAAGTGATTTGTAAACTCAGTAAAATTTGTGAAGCACTGGTTTAAGTTCATGAGAAGAATCATGAATTATAGATGGCATTAGTCATGTGATTATCATTTTTGAGGCTGGTGGTTCATTTTTCTTGGTCATCTTAAGTCAGGATTGACTAATGAACTATATAGGTTTTACATTATGCAAATGGTCCTAATTTCCTATATTAGGAATTAGACGTCTGATCCTAAAATTTCAATTTTCATCTATTTTTATAAGAAGCAGTATTTTAAAATAACTAATATAGTATACTGGATTTATATACTTCATTCTTAGGAGAAAATGCTGAGAAGCTCTTGCAGTTCAAGCGTTGGTTCTGGTCAATAGTAGAGAAGATGAGCATGACAGAACGACAAGATCTTGTAAGTTAAAAATTTCACGAAATTTGTAGAAGATATGAAATTTTAAAATACTGTGTATGATAGCCTTTTAAGTTTGTAAACAATGGTTGGTCATTTTAATTTTGGCTAAGGAAATTATAGAAAGGTCAGAAATACAAGGCAGTTTTAGTTTTTCTACTCTAGAACTGAAAACCTGAAGTATTAATAAAGCCTGTAAGAGTAAAATGCATTTAGCTATTGATATGCTGTCCTTAGTCCCAGAAGATAATACCAGTTGAGACAGGTTTCTTTTTCCCTATAGTGCTTAAATATGCTGGCTGCTCCTTTTATATATCCTTAATCCTTCTCACCAGTGGCAAGTCTTGGCAAAATTTTTGAATAGTATCTTGATTGCTATCTGTATACTAGGAATAGAATAGCTCATGATATGTGGGTATCAAGTCTATGATTTTAATCTTACCTACTTACTAGAATCATAAACTAGATAATATAAACTTTAGTCATAGTGAAAAGCCTACCAAGTCAGTGGAATCTATGTCCAGCCTTGAGTATATAACCGAATTAACCAAATCAACCTGTCCATTAATCTTGAACGGCAGTCTTCTCCAGACTTTGTTTTAGAAATTTGAGGGACATTCCTTACGTGGAAAATCCTAGAGATCCTTTTTACTCGTATTCCTCCTGTCGAGCCCACCTTAGTTCTCAGTAACTAAAACCAGACTACTTGTGGAATATATAAAAATGATCCAATTTCTAGAAATATCCTCCAATTTTGAGAGGGAAAATGGTTAGTTGTGTGGAAAGCAGTTTCCCCTTTACCTTCAGTTGAGTCAGTAACTTATTTTTGGGAGGGGGTTCTGCATTTAGGACTCAATTTTTACATGGTTCCAGGAGCCTTCCAATATTTCTTTCTGCACTACAATGAGACAGGTTTTTCGGTAGTCCTAGCTGTCAGTTGGTTCTATTCTTGGTTTTAGCCACTCTGGGAATTTCTACTTAGGTGGTTCCCTAGATAGATTCCAGGAATTTTGCTTGGTTCCATGTAATTCAGCTTTCCCGATCTTGTGGATCCTAAAGTCTCTGCCAGTGCTAATACCGTATCTGTCCTTTTTGGTTTCATTGTTAGGGTTCTACCACCTATATAGTCAGTTGTTTGATTCAGGTACCTTGTTTCTTTAAGAAAGGGGCCATATCAGTTCTGTAAGACATACCAGAAACAGAAATGATTGGCTATCGGGTATAAATTCTAAGGTGTTTAATGGACTATTTTTTTACCCCCTAGTTTTAATGTTCTGTTTTTAAACCAATAAATCTTCAGTTCTCACAGACCCATTAGATTTCACTGCAGTTTCTGCCTTCTACTGGAAGATAAATTTGCTAACTATTCAGTTTTTAAAATGAAAGAAAGAAGATCTCCCTTTGTAAAGGGCCTCAGAATTTCCTATAAAAAGCTTTAATTTGTGAGTGTCACTCCTCTATTTGTAGGGCTTAAGCAGTATATCAAGGAGTCTTTTTCCCTCTCCTCTTTTGGGAAGAATGCTTCACAGTTGTTGGTTTTATCCTGATGTGTCTGAGAAGAGCTGAAGAACATAACAGACTATTCAGAGCAAACTGTTCTCCCTTGAATTATTAGTCCTGCAAATTATAGGGTATTTTGCGCTACTGGGTAAGACTACATAGTTTATTCCCCTCTTAGTCACAGTTCACTAGGAAAAGTTCTGAAAAGTCTTGTAGTATATTTCTCTTCTTCCAGCTTTTGGGATGTCCAGCAATGGTAGCTATCTACCCTGGCTAACCATATCCATCTTTGAAGAAACACTTTTAAGTTTGTTCTTTACTTGTAAAATGAGTAGATTGGACCAGCTTTATCTCTAGAGCATCTTTTATAAAGTTCTTTGAAGAGACACTTAACAGGGATTCTTTTTCTGTCCCCTTCTGTAGAAGTTAGAGGAGATTTCTCATAAAATCATTCTTAAGGAAAGCAGATTACAGTTGACCCTTGAACGGTGTGGGAGTTAAGGGAACCAGCCCACTATGCATTTGAAAATCTGAGTATGTTTTGACTCCCCCCAAAACTTTACTGATAGCCTGCTATTGACCAGAAGCTTACCAATAATAGTCCATTACACATATTTTGTATGGTATTATATAACTGTATTCTTAAAGTAAGCTAAAGAAAATGTTAAGAAAATCATAAGGAAAATACATTTATAGTACTGTATGTGGTATATTTATAAAACAAATTTGCATGTGGTGGAGTGTGCAACTCCTGATCTTGGGATTTTGAATTTGAGCCCCACATTGGGTGTAGAGATTACTTTTAAAAAAAAAAAAAAATCCACATGTAGGTGGACTCATGTAGTTCAAGGGTCACCTGTAGTTCATTTAGGTTTTCTAGTCACTCTGGGATATTGGATATATTTGTCTTTTTTAGTTGTGCATTTTGGAATGCATTAGATTTAAAAAGCCTTACCTTTAAGAAATAGGAACTGGGCGCTGTAAGAATGTAATGTGTGTATATATGTACAGATCAATGAGGAATGAGACAAAGTACAGAAGTTAACATTTATTTACACGATGTCACACAAAATAGATGTGTAGTGCAATTCAGTGTTAATATGGCTTATTGCATGGATTTTTTGTATGTAGATACTCCCCAACACTAAATGTTATCACAATATAGCACTGAAACTACTGGATTATTTTGCTGGTTAGATAAAATGCAGAACAACTCTTTTGGAGACCTTGTGCCTATTTCCACTAATAAAGACTTTAAAAGCCACTGGAGAGGCCCACAGAGAAACTGAGGACCTTGAAATAGTCACTTTTCTACATACCTGACACTTTTTTCTTTTCTGACCCTGAACCTTTTCAGTACAAGAAATAAATTTAAAACCCAGTTCAAAATAATATCCCTCTGTAGGTTTTAACATAAGAATGGGGTTCTCTGTATATATTGCCAGAATTAATGTTAATCTGTTAAAAGCCAAAATTGTAATTATTATATTCCTGTTTAGGTTTACTTTTGGACATCAAGCCCATCTTTACCAGCAAGTGAAGAAGGATTCCAGCCTATGCCCTCAATCACAATAAGACCACCAGATGACCAACATCTTCCTACTGCAAACACTTGTATTTCTCGACTTTACGTCCCACTCTATTCCTCTAAACAGATTCTCAAACAGAAGTTGCTACTCGCCATTAAGACCAAGAATTTTGGTTTTGTGTAGAGTATAAAAAGTGTGCATTGCTGTGTAATATTACTAGCTAATTTTGTAGATTTTTTTCCATTTGTCTATAAAAGTTTATGGAAGTTAATGCTGTCACACCCCCTGGTGGTACCTTAAAGAGATTAAATGCAAACATTCCTTGCTGAGTTTGTAGCTTAAAGGCCTGAGGAGCACTAGCAACATTTGACTAATGGTTTGCTAGTCGACAACTTCTGGGTCTAACCCCAGCCAAAGATGACAGCAGAACAACATAATTTACACTGTGATTTATCTTTTTGCTGAGGGGAAAAATGTAAAATGTTCTGAAAATTCACTGCTGCCTTTGTGGAAAGTGTTTCAGCAAAGGTTCTTGTATAGAGGGAATAGGGAATTTCAAAATAAAAAATTAAGTATGTTCTGTGTTTTCATTTTAACTTTTTTTATGGTGTTTAATTTGTGGTTGGCTGCAATTGTGTATCATGTATATGGAACTTGTAAAAAGTTCTGGACATTCAGATCTTAGAGATGAAATCACTTTTACCTATGAAAACCACTTTTATTGCGGTTTATTTTAGCTGCATTGAGCTCTAGGATATTAAACGATATCACTAATATTTTGCATGTAATTTGTTCATTTGAGTAAGGGCACTTTTTTGTACATATGATGGGGCCAATGCACAGTACTTTATCACAACTTTTTTTTCTTTGTATCCCTATTTCAATGAGCAGTCAGTCAGGAGGTTACTGCACTTCAGTTCTAATTAGACATTTGTACTAAGGTATTTCAGTTATGTAAACTCAGCCTGGGCACTTTCTGATAACTGTAAAATGTTTTATAAGATCATGATTATTGAAGATACATTTTGGAAAATTTTAAATGTTCGTGAGCAGCTTAACTACTTTTGTATCTAGCCTTTTTTAAGTATCTTGTTACATTTACTTTTTTAAATAAAGAAATTACAGAAGAAATGTCAAGTAATATTGAAGAAACAATAGTTTTTATTTATGTAGTTGTACATTTTTAAACTAAGGGTAATACACCAACATGGTTATGTGCATAAAAATTTTTGATTTAAAGAACTGAAAGTTTATATACACATGGACTATAAGAAAGAAGAAAATCAGTCCACATTTTACAGTTAGCAGAGAATCCTGAATGGCACTGGCCAGGCCACCTTTTCTTTTTACAAATGAGGGAAGTGAAGTGTGACCCTTACTTGGCATAGGAAGTTAATTCACTTATACTTAGTAACTAAGTGACAAGTTCTTTTTTGATGACCCATTAATTATGTAGCCTAGGACCAATATCTCTAAATTCTTGTGGTTTTAGTAGCTTTATTCAATGGCATAAGGAACACTTTTCTCACTAAGTCTTCAAAAAGTGACAAACTAGTCACTTTACATATTGAAAATGAGAGAAATTCTCTGAAATCTCTACCTTTCAATTCCTTTAAGAGGACTCCTGGCCTTTGGGATATTTTTCATATTCAAAGGCGCTATGCTTTTATTATATAACTTCCTGCAGAAGACTGAACCATGTGATATTCTCAGCCCTGCTGACACAATAAATATTAAAAACTAAAATGATAGTAGTGAAACTCATTGTATTACTTAAAAGTTACACAACATGCTGTATTAGATTTGTGTAAATTAACCAAAGGTTATTTTACAAAGTGAGATACTGGTTTTTATGTCTAAATGCTATTTCTGAATAAATGAAATAGTAGTTAGATTAAGAGCTAATTATCATCAATGTGTCTGGAAGAGATAAAATTTATATATCACCTTAACTTCTGTATGCACATGATGGGATTGATAAAATATTAAATGAAAACAAACTAGATATGATTAGGACATTTGAAACCCTAATTGTGAACTTATTTTTAATAGTTACTGAAAGAATGAAAATATTTAAAATAATGCACAATGTCTTAAGTCTTCCTAAATCAAGATTTTGGTTAAAATGCTTTTAGGACTATTAAAAGCAGAGTGAGTTTTTTTTTTTTTTTTTTTTTTTAAGTAAAGCATAAAATGGTTCTAAATGGAAAATAAAGTCATGTAAAATAAAGTTCTCTTTTGGTCTTGTTTAGTGATTAAGTCTAATAGAATTGAAAACAAATTTAGGAAGAGAAGACCAAGAATGAACTTTACTGAGGGGTTTTCAAAGTTTTGCTACTTTTACCCTTCCCCCCTACCTAAACCATCTGTATCTTGACTATCCAGTGTAATAATAGCTTACTGAGACAGACTTGAGGTTAATAGTATGATATCACTATTTAATACTTGCCCCTGAATATTTCTCTTCTAAAGATGATTATTTTTGTTTAACAGTAGCCAGTGATTTCTAGGTCTGAACTCAAACCAGATCTTCCCTTGAGGTAGTAGTTCTTATGCTACTCTATGCATAAGATTCCCTGGTAGAGCTTGTTAGTGCACATTTCCTAATCTTTGCCCATTCTTTCAATCACATTCTGATTCAGTAAGTCTTCATTGGAGTACGGAAATCTTTATTCTTAAAACAGCATCCCAGGTGATTCTGAAACAATGCCCAAAGAACATTCTTTTTCATGAATGTAAATCCCCCTGTTGTCCTTAGAGCCAAACTTCTCCTACCTAAAGCCTATGGAAAAATATTTATGTCAATCATCTAGTCCTGGATTAGATTCTTTCTCCTAATAAAGGACTTACTGGAAGTGTCTTCAATAGGCTGGTTGAAAATATTTTCAGTGTTTACATTAACCTAAGCAGGTAAGGCATGGACGGAGATTAATTCTTCTCTAAACATCATTTGATTAATGTAGAGATGTATTTAAAATGTGACTTGTTTATTCATCTCAAGATACTTTATAAGCAAATTATCTTGTTACCTCTCTTCAAATTAAAAAAAACTGCATTGCTATGACTGTGCAACATGAAGTTTCTCTTAATTACTAACTTTTAGTCAGTACTTACTACGTGCCAGGCACTTTGTCAAGTGCTTTACAATATAGTGTCTCCTTTTATCCTATGAGATGGGGGCTGTTGCCATCCTCACAGACAGGAAACGAGACACAGGTTAAACAACTTGCTCAAGTTTACACAGTTAATAAGTGCTGAAGTGAGATATACTAGGCATTCTGGAGCTTGCATTCCTAAACATTGGGCTATACTATTTTGTGGAAGGTATGATTATAAATAAGCAAGTTAAGTTAGTCATTAAGGGTTTGGGGGGTGGGGGGGTGTGTTTGTGTATGATTTCCTCCATACCCTCAAGCAATGCACCAATACTAGCACAATTTAACTCATTCTGACACTATCTGAAAATAGCATCCGATTCTACAGGTCAAGGGCTCAGTGCCACAAAGGCTGCCCTTCACTTCAGATGTCAACTGCAAGCCCAGGTTGTTACCGATACTTATGACTGACAAGCTGTAAATCAGAGGTTCCTGAGAACCCCTCCTTGGGTTTGAATGATTTGCTAGAGTGGATCACCAAATTCAGAGGAACATTTTGCTTACTAGATCATTGGTTTATCATAAAATGGTCTAACTCTGGGGGCGCCTGGGTGGCTCAGTTGGTTAAGCGACTGCCTTCGGCTCAGGTCATGATCCTGGAGTCCCGGGATCGAGTCCC